CTTCTACCTGTAGTGGGAATCTTTACCCCTGCTGCCTGACACATATATTGTATCAGAGAGCTATGGCCAATGGATGCCTTCTTGCTGTTGCTGTGGGCCATGTCATAAAGGCTCTCTGATAGGATTCTGGGTAGGTCAATGGGCATCTCCTGCATAATAGCCCAAATCAATACTGCCCTCTTTACTACCACCTCAATGTGGTTAGCAGAGGGCATGATGTTGCTCACCACAAAATGGTACCATACCTTGGCTGGATTGTTCAAGTTCTTCAGCCACACTCTCTTAGGACGCCCATCCTTTGTTTTATCCCACTTCTCTCCTAGGTTTGTGATGCACTCCAGGATAGGTCTAGCTGCCTCCATTTCATCTTCCTCATACTCAAGGGAAGTGCATTTGTTGTAGTACGTGCAAGTGGTGACAGATGTCTTGTCACAATGGGTTGTCTTCAGCAAATTTTGAATGGAGAGGGAGTCATATTTGATCTCTTTCCCCCTCACGAAGCTAACATATTGCTTCTTTACCCCCTCTTGATCCTATGTATAAGCATTGGCAAAGAATTCCCTACAAATATCTTCCCTTGTCTCCACTGGCAAGGTGCATAAGTTCCTCCATCCCCTTATTGTGATGTTGTTTAAAAAATCAGGGTGTTGTCCCATAGTGAGGTGTAAAACCCTCTCCTTGCAGATTGCCTTGCCTAGGATCTGTGTTTGGTACTTCTCCTTATGAGCTGGGGACTTGAATCTTGGCACCACCATATTTGCAGGTGGTTGAGAACTAGAACCGGCACTCGGTTGCTTTGTGCCTCTTTGCCTTTTGTTTCCTGTATTTTTGTTTCTTCCATACATCCTGCAATTTCAGAAAGAATACCACTTTAAAACTCATTCTTGTTATAAATTCCCTAAATTGCATCTTACTTACTATCAATGGTCTATTACCATACATATATGATGAGTATTTTTCTATGTGATGACTTCAACATACCATCAACATTCCAGAATTTCTTTACTTTTACAATACCCGTACACACAATCCAATTATTTCATTTTCTCCAATAGTTTCCATGTACTATTAGAATTTAGCTTTTGTATTCAAGTGAGCATATGTATGTATGGGAACAATTCTGTAAAAGCATTAATTTTTCATAATAAGCATTTGTATTCATACCAATGATGTAGCAATTGAAATAGCCATTATGAGTTGGAACTCTGTATGCATGAATTGTTTAACCATGTATGCAACTTGGTGAAGCATCTGGTTGTGCTAACTTATGATTCGGTTGATGAGCATCTCATTGACACATTTTATCAAACAATTCATGGGCATTTTATTTGAACTATTCCTACACTCTTCAATGCCTACAATCCATTTATATCTACCGGAACAATCATGATATGAATTCAGCAAGCAATTTCAAGAGGTATAATGTGCCCACTATCCCTGATTAGATATTTTGATTAAACCCTATTAGATATAAAGTAACCCCTTTTAGAACCCTAATTTTCAGATTGCATCGCATAAAAAGGGAAGAACAATTTCAATTTGATCATTTGTTAACTTATAAAAGGGAGAGATTCATACCTTGATTTCTTGACAATGAGATAAAAGGAAGTTCCACTTAAGAGGGAGACGGGGATTAGTGTGTGCAGTGAAGGAAAGATAAGAGATGAGAAGAAATGAAGGATGGGATGGGGATATTTAAAAGAAATTTTCAGGAAAAATTGTGGACCGCTGAAGCGCGCTCGGGCGACCATTGGGACGCTCGAGCGTGCTTTTCGAATTGCACTTTTCCCTCTTCTAGCGCGCCTGAGCGCTCACTAGAACGCTCGAGAGCGTGTGGCCGTGCAGTTCAATCTGTGAATGCAATTGTGCGCGCTGGAGCGGCCATTTGGGCGCTCGAGCGCGCTAAGTGTAAATTTTTTCTAATTCTCCCTGTTGGTACACGCTGGAGCGGCCATTTGGGCGCTCGAGCGCTCCCCTCGATCCCCAATTCCTTTTGTGTTTGGGCGCTCAAGCGCTCAGTAGCGCGTTTGAGCGCCCACGAGCCACTCATAACTTGTCTTTTTTCTCCTCACTTATGATTCCCTTATTCCACTCTCACGAGCTATTGTCACCTTAACCAAATTATCTAATTTTTTTGTATTTTCTTATTTAATTTAACTAAAGAATGTGGAAATTAATAAATTCTAAGGCTGCCTCCTCAGTAGCGCTCGTTTAGCGTCACGAGCCTGCCGTACCTGATTTACCTTACCTATACCAGGGCAACCGTGACTGTTCCCCTATCGATTTCTCCTCCCATCTATAATTTCAGATTCTGGCCATTGACTGTGAAGCTCCTGTCAGAATCCAGCAGACTGATCTCCACTTCTCCATATGACTTCATATCCTTTACGAAGAATGGTCCTGACCATCTGAACTTTAATTTCCCATGGAAGAGACGAAGGCGAGAGTTGAAGAGTAATACTTGTCGTCCCACCTTGAAATCTCGAGGTAGGATCTTCTTGTCGTGCCACTTCTTCGTCTTCTCTTTGCAAAGACTCGCACTCTCATATGCAGATAGTCTGAACTCATCCAGCTCATCCAATTGAAGAAGCCTCTTTTCAGCTGCATTCTTGGAGTCAAAATTGAGGTACTTGATTGCCCATAAAGCTTTATACTCTAGCTCCATCGGTAAGTGACAGGACTTCCCAAACAGTAATTGGAAAGGGGACATATCAATTGGAGTTTTGAATGCAGTCTGGTATGCCCACAGTGCATCATCAAGCTTCTTGGACCAGTCTTTTCGCGAACTTCCAACCGTCTTTTCCAGTATACGCTTCAGCTCTCGGTTGGATATTTCAACTTGACCACTTGTTTGCGGATGGTACGGTGTGGTAATTTTGTGTTTGACTCCACACTTGGCCAGCACGTACTCCACTTGTCTGTTGTCAAAGTGAGTCCCTCCGTCACTGATGATTGCTCGCGGTACCCCATACCTGACAAAGATATTTCTTTTGAAGAAGACAATGACCACTCGAGAATCATTCGTAGGGAGAGCAACAACCTCTACCCACTTAGATACATAATCCACCGCAACAAGGATGTATTTGTTGCCATAGGAAGGGGGAAAAGGTCCCATGAATTCTATTCCTCACACATCAAAGATCTCAACCTCCAATATGTTGTTGAGGGGCATTTCATGTCTTTTGGAGATATTCCCCATTTTCTGCCATCTATCGCATGCTTCCACAAACTTCCTTGCATCCTTGTAGAGTATTGGCCAATATAAGCCACTAATCAAAACATTTGTGGTCGTTCTTTCTCCGGCAAAATGTCCACCGTAGCTTGAACCATGGCAGTGCCACAAGATATCTTTCATCTCTTCTTCTGAAATGCACCGCCTTATTACTCTATTAGCACATCTGTAGAAAAGGAAGGGCTCATCCCATAGGTATTTATTGACATCATGCAGAAACTTCTTCCTTTTGTTGCCATGTGAAGTCCACTGGAATTTCCTCTGCTGCTTTAAAATTTGTGAAATCCACGAACCATGGAGGTGTACTAGTGTTCTTTACTTCCTCAAGTTGCAGATCCGAGATGACATTGATAGCCAATATTTGCTCATCAGGGAATTCTTCTTTGATCTTCAATTTCAGTCCATCTTGAAGATCTTTTCTTGGATCCTGGAGAGGTGATCAGCTACTAGGTTTTCCACGCCTTTCTTGTCTCAGATCTCAACTTCAAACTCTTGAAGGAGCAGCATCCATCTAAACAGTTGTGGCTTTGCATCCTGCTTATTCAACAAATACTTTAAAGCAGCATGATCAGTGTAAACAATTACTTTAGACCCGAGCAAGTATGGTCTAAATTTATCAAATGCATAGACTACTGCTAGTAATTGTTTTTCAGTGGTAGCATAATTTAACTGTGCATCATTAAGAATTTTACTAGCATAGTAAATAACATGCAAAAGTTTATCTTTTCTTTGTCCTAAGACAGCTCCTATGGCATAATCACTAGCATCACACATTAATTCAAAAGGTAAGGAAAAATCAGGTGCAGTGGTCAATTTATCTTTCAAAATATTAAATGCAATCAAACATTCTTCCGTGAAGTTGAATTCCTCATCTTTGACCAACAACTTGCATAGTGGTTTTGCTATCTTGGAAAAGTCCTTGATAAAGCGCCTGTAAAAACCTGCATGACCGATAAAACTTCGAATACCTTTAACATTAGAGGGAGAGGGAAGTTTCTCAATAACAGATATTTTAGCTCTATCAACTTCTATACCATCTTTGGACACTTTATGTCCTAAAACTATGGCATCTTTTACCATGAAGTGACATTTTTCCTAATTCAACACAAGGTTACTCTCTTGACATCTTTGTAAAACACAAGACAAGTTTTCTAAACAAGTGTCAAAAGAGGGCCCAAAAACAGAAAAGTCATCCATGAAGATCTCAATAGATTTTTCAATCATATCAGAAAAATATAAAGCATGCACCTTTGAAAAGTTGCCAGAGCGTTGCATAGACCGAAGGGCATCTTCCGGTAAGCGAAGACTCCGTAAGGGCATGTGAATGTTGTCTTCTCTTGATCTTCTGGAGCTACTGCTATTTGATTGTAGCCCGAGTACCCATCCAGGAAGTAGTAGTATGCATGGCCAGCTAGTCTCTCTAACATCTGGTCCAAGAAAGGAATAGGAAAGTGATCCTTCCGAGTGGCTGCATTAAGTATTCTATAGTCAACACACATCTTCCACCCGGTGACTGTCCTTGTTGGAATCAGCTCATTGTTCTCGTTTCTTACCACAATGACTCCACCTTTCTTGGGTACCGTTTGTGCTGGACTTACCCACGCACTATCAGATATAGGATAGATCATTCCTGCATCTAACAGTTTAACTACCTCTTTCCTCACAACCTCTTTCATGGTTGGATTGAGTCTTCTTTGTGACTGCCTAACAGGTTTAACATTATCTTCCATTAGAATTTTATGAGTACAAAAGGAAGGATTTATACCTTTTAAATCGGGAAAGACCATCCTATGGAAGCTTTGTGTTTCTTCAACACCTTGAGAAGCTTTTCTTCTTCTATGGTTGCTAACTCAACATTGATGATGACTGGATAAGTGTTTTTGTCACCAAGGAAAGCATATTTCAGATTTGAAGGTAACTTCTTTAGCTCCACCTTTGGTGCTCCAAGAGGGATGTCATCTTTCTTTTTCTCGAGCTCTTCCACCACTGGTTCTTTTTCTTTATCAACAAGTTCAGTTTCTTCGTTGATTTGCTCTAACTCAAGCGGGAAACTCTCCTCTTTCATCGTGTCATCAACTGCTTTTTGAATTATGTCAACCATGAAACAGTCTCCTCCATCAGACGGATGCTTCATTGACTCGAAAACATCAATGGTGATTGTCTCTTCATTCATCCTCAGCATCAGTTTCCCTTGCTCCACATTGATTATTGCTCTTGCAGTAGCTAGGAAGGGCCTTCCAAGTAGTAGAGGAATCTCTGCATCTTCTTTCATATTCAGGATTACGAAATCTGCAGGAAAAATAAATTTGTCAATCTTTACTAAAACATCCTTAATTACCCCATCTGGTCGTCTGATCGATCTGTCAGCTAACTAGAGAGAAACTGTAGTTAGTTTTAGCTCTCTGATTCTAAGAGTTTTGCACATGGAAAACGACATGAGATTTATACTTGCTCCCAGATCACATAATGCCTTTCCTACTTCAATATTTCCTATAGCTATAGGAATACTGAAGCTTTCGGGATCTTTTAGCTTGGGAGGGAGTTTCTTCTGGATGATCGCACTACATTCCTCAGTTAAGGCCACTGTTTCGCACTCCTTCAACTTGTGCTTCTTTGACAGAAGATTTTTCATGAATTTTGCATAGTTCGAAATGCTTTCCAGGGCTTCTGCGAAAGGAATGTTCACTTGTAACTTCTTGAAGATATCCATAAATTTAGTGTATTGTTGTTTCTAGACCTCTTGTTTCAGTCGCTGAGGGTATGGAACTCGTGCATATGGAGATGGATCTGCTGGTTTTGGTTGCCTGTCCAGAGCTTTCTTTTTCTCCCATTTGAACAGCTTCTTTTCTGGACTGCTCTTTTCGGCTTCTCCCGCATCTTCCTCTTTCTCCTCTACAGCTGCAGGTTCAACTGTTTTCTTCTTCTCCATTGGAGGCTTTTCCATAGGTTGGATCACAATCCCACTTCTGGTAACAAAGGACTTACATTGTGCATTTTTATTAGTGTCTGTGTTACTCGAAAAGGTGCCCTGATTTCTTCCAGCGAACTGTCTTGACAGCTGGCCAACTTGAGTTTCCTGGTTCCGGAGAGAAGCTCTTGTTTCATCTCTAAAGGAATTTGCATTCTGAATATAGTTCGAGGTGGTTTCGGACAACTGTACAAAAGCTTTCTCCCACTCTGAAGTGTTATCTTGTGGTGGGGGCTGTTGTTGCATTGGTAAAGGAGGATTCAGGTAATGATTTGATTTGTAACTCAATCCTGGGTGTTGATTTTGATTTTTTTCACCCTTGATTATAGTTGTTTCCATATTGGTTCCTCCCCGAATTATTCTGGTTCTTTTGATCGTACCAGATTCCATTGACTTCTTCCTTTTCAGGTGTCCTCATATAATCGCAATCATCAGTTGCATGAGTACCTGCACAAATACCACAAGTAATTTGATAATTACTAACAGAAGAAACTTGAGAATTAGAAAATTTCTTTGTAAGAGCATCTAATTGTGCTTGTTGTTTCTTATTCATTTGCAGTATTTGTTCATTCTGAGCCAATATTGCATCATAGTTGTCCAGCTTTATGATTCCTGCTCTCCTGCGTGAGATTGAGGCATTATCAAACTCTTGAGAAGCTAAGGATTCCACCAATTCTAACGCTTCCTCTGGAGTTTTTGTTTTCAATGATCCCCCTGCTACAGCATTCACTAATGTTCTTGTGCTCAGCGTCATTCCTTGGAAGAAGATTCTTCCTTTCTCCCAGGCTTCAATGCCATGTTGGGGACACTTTCAGAGTAGTCCTTTAAATTTGTCTCATGCCTCGTACAAGGATTCACTTTCTTTTTGTTCAAAAGTTGTGATCTCTGTTTTGAGCCTTGACATCTTTGAAGCTGAGAAAAATCTGGCCAAGAACTTCCTTGCCAGGTCATCCCAACTGGTGATGCTTCCTTCAGGTAGTGACTGCAGCCAAGCTCTTATGTCATCTTTAAGCGAACAAGGAAAAAGTTTGAGCAAGATGGCATCACGAGAGACTCCATTCATCTTTAATGTATCATAGTAAAGTAGGAAATCATCAAGATGACTTTAGGGGTCTTCTTTTCTTCCTCCAGAAAACTGCTCTTTTTGAATTAATTGTAGCAGCGCTGGCTTGAGCTCGAAGTTGTTAGCATCTACGGTTAGTCTAACGATGCTTGACGTCTGCGGAACTCGGGCTGAAGTCATGTAATCTCCCAACGTCCTTGGATGATTCTGAATCGCGTTGTTGTCATCCATTGTTTCTTCCTTTGGTTCCGTTGAACTTGAGGCTTCTTTTTCTTCTTTTGCTTTTCTTTATTTGGCACTTTTTTTGAGTTTTCTTTCTGCCTTTTCTATCTCAGGATCAAACTGCAAGATTCGTGGGTTAACCGTACCTCGCATAAACCAAGATTTAAAAGATGTGCAGAAAACAGAAAATAAAAACAGAAGAAGTATGCAGAAAAATTAATGCAGAATTTAATTGCGAAAATATTAAAACGTCCAATCTAAACAATTTTTAGTTACTTCTAATGTTGAAGGATCCAATCCCCGGCAACGGCGCCAAAAACTTGTTGCGACTCGGCAAGTGCACCGGTCGTTAAGTAATAAAAGTGTACCGGAGTACGAGATCGTTCCCACGAGGATTGGGTTTCAAACACTAGTTCGCTAATCGCGGTTTAGTTGGACAATCAATATTTAGATGAAGAAAATTGAAATTAAAAAGAAAACAATTAATAACATGCAAATTAAAATTCAGAATTAAAAAGAAATTGGAAAGATGATTGATTTAAAGATTAAAAACAAGGCTAGTTAAGGTTTCGACTTCCCTCAATCTCTTTTATATGCTATGAATTAAACTGTCAAGAATCTTCTCTTAATATAATGCCAATCAATTCTTTCTAAGTTAATCAGGGCTCAATTACTTGTTACCCTAAATCTATGTGATCTTGAAAGAACTCTAGTTCCCTGATTATTTCCCAAGAAAACATGCATTAAGATCAAGAATTTAAAGATTGCACAATTGCCGTATGTCTATCCCTAGATCACAAGGATTGTGATAAATTTATCAAATCAGGGTTCATGCATCAACATCCCTATTGTCATACAATTCCCCTAAATCAATATATAAGGAGCAAACTCATAGAAAGCATTAAAGACAGATAAATTTATTCAATTATAAAAAGAAAAGAATTCGGAGACAATTTAATTTAAAAAATATGATTCAATTGGGTTCCATCTACCCTAACTACATAAATATCTAGCCTAGCATACTGAATTCAAAAGCAATAATAAAGAAAAGAGAACCCCAAGCCTCCATTGATGTGATGTTGACTTGGTTCCTCAGTGTTCCCACGTTCCGCAACCGGATTCCTCCTTCAGGTCTCTGTGTAGTTCTCTGGATTGGTGAATTGGTGGTTTTCTTGGCCCTCAACTCCCTATTTATAACCATTGAAACTGTATCTTTTAATTCTCCGTCCAATCTTTCTATGAATCTTGATCAACTTTTAAATCAAATCTTGATTTGTTTCATTTTTTATTCAAGATACTGTAGATTGGGCTGATTGGGCTCGTGTTAGGCGCTCAAGCGCGCTACAGGGCGCTTGAGCGCGCTCCTATGCATAGAATTCTTGAATTTGTCTGCCCACACGCCCTCGAACGGCCAACTGGGCGCTCGAGCGTGCTCCTCGATGGTGAATTCTTGTAGTCTTGGGCGCTTAAGCGTGTTGTTGGGCGCTTGAGCGCCCAAGATTGCTCAATTTAGTTGATTTTCCTGTCTGGACGCGCTCGAGCGTCCATTCTGTGCACTTGAGCGTGCTATTTTGGCTTCTTTTGGTACATATTGAGCTGCAATTCTTCGTCATGATTTCTTCATCACTTCTTAGCACCCATAGGTGTGGTTTTACCTTCAAAATGCAAAGAAAATCAAAATGTTAGCTCAATTTCCTAACTTACGGTTTATATGCTGTAAAATCTGGAATTCCATGCAATCTCCTATATATTTCTCATATAATTTAGCCTAAAAACATGATAAACCAAAGGTTTATCATCTTCCTAACAGAATTTTGCAATCTTGGGGAACCTCGTTAAAAATATGCAGATCCCAGTATGAGAAAGAATAACCCGCGTTTGCTAACTTGTCCAATGATTTAAAGCCTATTTTTAAGCCTTAAAGTCTTAAATGGCCATAACTAATTTTATAATATTCTCTTCATCCAATTTTTATAGTTTTAGTCGTATTTATGGCCCACGTTGATTCGAAGAGTAGGTCTAAGCCCATTTTTTATTAGCTTCCCGTAGAATTAGGGTTACTTTACCTATTTTTTTTTCAATACTATTAGGTCATAATCTCAAGAGAAAAGAAAATAGATGTAAGTTAATTAAGATTATGATCAGATAGTATTTAAGAAGAATAGATAAAGTAGACATGAAAAAAAAAGTAGGCATAATATCTTATTCAACAATAGGCATATATATATATATATATATATATATATATGTGTGTGTGTGAAAAAAGTATTTCTACAACCACTTTAGATAAGGTTGTCTACAGCTATCCCTTTTTCATTTTTTTTATATATATATATATATATATATATATATATATATATATATATATGGGTCAGGATCATTTTACACCAGTGTAACTTACACTCTCAATATTGTCCGTCGATCCCACTTATATCTAAGGGCTCCAATTTTTTAGTAATGTGAGTCATTGGATACAAGTGGATCAATGATCAAGATTGAGTGTAAGATATTAAGTGTAAGAATATCCTGCTCCTATATATATATATATATATATATATATATATATATATATATATATATATGGAGATTGATTTGAATAATTCGTTGAAGGGGTTGATGTTGGATCCTTTTTAATGCTTGCCGAATATTCAGCCACTCGGCCCACTCCTATCTGTAACCAATTCTGGGTGCTATTATTATTTTTTTCTTTTTTACTTTAGTGATTCTAGTGTAATTTCCATTCAGTTTGTGTAAGCTTGCCGGTTGATATTTATATAATGCACTTGAACAAGGAGATTATATATTAGGCAAGCTTTCTAACTGAAAAAATAATAATTTACAACACTATTTCACTTGCATTTAATCCCTCACATATTAAATTAAAGACTAAATTAAACACTTGTATACAAAATGAGATAAATGACAAATTAATGAAATAAAATAAGAAGCCTGTAAAATATATCTTTTTTCTTAACCTACTTAGTCCCTATAATTAAACCATAAGTGGCCTTTATGTTCATATACGAAAGGCTCCTCTTCATGGTTATGTTTTGTGACTACTAATGCATACACATATATATACATGTGCATACTAATTCACACATACACAAATAAAACAAGGAACATTGAACAAGGATATAATAACTTAAAATATAACTCAAAAATGAAGTAGATCAACATTTTTATGCGCAAATATAACCTTATTAACTTTGGGACAAGTCCTAAATACATCTAATTTCAAATCAAACCCCTACCTGTTAATAGATAACGGAGAATACGGTTTTATTGGGCAAACGTAAATTACAAAATAGGAAAATATGTTTATTATGTTGCAAGATACAGATTATCTCACGAAACATACGAGAAACACGTTCCCCTACAAAATAACCATGGAAAACATAATAATCATAACAGGGAAATAAGGACAATTATTGAAATTCCTAATCTTTGGCTTAAC